TTAATTTCAGAATTTTAAATTTGAATTTATTGGTGACAGCTGAATTTGTTTTTCTCGTATAAGCTTGTTGCTTATGGTATTTATCTATCTTATTAAAATGCCTTCTTTTTCTCAATATAAAAATTGATATTTGAGACATAACTTATTCATGTTATATAAATAGTTAATAACGATAGTTTTTATTAAGATTATTGAGTATCATATAAGCAAGAAAATATTAATATCAGAATTATTTCACATCATATTATTTATTTAATTACATTACTTTTATTAAAGCAACTAATGTGCCTATATAATAAATTATCAATATTTTCATTTCTTAGACAAATTGATAACTTATTAAAAATTCACAGATTCACAAATATTAATTTACAAACATCAACTTTATTATAAATACAAATGCCAAATTCGAAATTTTACCATAATTATAAAATCTAAGCATATCGTTACGAAATTATCCGTTCTATACATATCTAATACATATGAATTTTACCGATAATACTACAATTTTTGCTGGAGCTTATTACTCTTTCAAAGTACTATCATATTTTTGCAAGTATCTTAAAACTTTCAACATTATTTATATATATATATGCTTAAAATCTATTAACATCACTACAATGTCTCTACTTCTAAGTTTTCAATAGATATGCAAGACAAAAAAATGTATTTATTATGGTCACTTTGAGTATAAAATTTTTTAAATTTAATATAAATACTTATTTAGTCACAAATGAGTATGATTATACAAAATTATTTTGTTATTAATAGTTCTAGCTACTAAAAATCAAAATAATTAATCAATATATTCACTTGTAAATATGAAACTTCAAAAAACTTTACTTAAATAGCATTTATACAATTGAAAATAAAGCAATATCATAAGACATAATTAAACCATAACGTTGAAGAAATAAAATGTTCGTTTCTACTTTCAAAATTTAAACGAAATAAATTCCTTGGCCGTTAAAGAAGGGTATACGACAAAACATTTTAAAATACCACAGAATACTGAACTGATTTTAGTAAACAGTGCTGGATTCAATTGATTTTCTATTTCTCCTTCTAATAGTTTATTGTATCACATCATCGATAAGATGAGCGAGTACTATTTAGTTAATAATAATATTATTTAATCATTAAATAATTGTAATTATTATGCTTGGCTTTGAACTATTTAATATTGAAACATTTATAATTATAAAACTATCTAAACATAAATGTTCCTTCTATTGTTTTGCGTTATTTTTTAAAATTGATATGAATATTATTAAAATTTACTAATGTAATACAATTGATAATTTAAATATCTTACGGATATTTGAATTTTCATTAATAACTGTAAAAATTGATGTTTGACAAATCCAATTATATTTTTTATTGAATTCAATATTAAATTCTCATATTATAAATTCATCGTGTTAATTTTTACTCACAAAATAACTAACTTTTGTCTTTCGTTCTTGAAAAAAATTTATGCGTCTTTACAGTAATGATTTGTTAATCATGGTGCCAAGAGATTAATAAAACACAAGTGTGCAAATTATAATACTCTTGAACAATAACTTCAATGAAAAATATATTTAAAAACAATAGTCTCAATGCTATACATCGTTTATTTTTAAACAATTAAACATCTAGGTATATATAGTTATATCAGTGAAGAATTGGACTAAAAATATGAATTTTGCTTAATAATATCGCGATCAAGCGATTGCGTATCGTTATTCATAAATTCAAAAAACGTATATTTATTTCACGCAGAAAAACAAAAACAAAGCACTTAAGCTTCACGAGCTTCTCTCTTATCGCATCTTTCGAGGCGAATTGGATCAGCAGACGAAGATCATCGATTACCTTCAATCCAAAACACCTCATGTACCAGCAAACGAACAGTCGAGCTATGCCACGCTGCCGTTGCTACTACTACTCTTGGTCCAGACCAATCAAATAAAAGACTTCTTTCTCTCTCTCTCTCTCTCTCTCTCTCTCTCTCTTTCTCTCTTACGCTTCCTCAATACACAGCTTCATGCGGGTTTACACATCAGCTCGCGTGTGTACTTACTACTCTTTCTCCCTTTCTGTCTCTCTGTCTGTCTGTCTGTCTGTCTGTCTGTCTGTCTGTCTGTCTGTCTGTCTGTCTGTCTGTCTGTCTGTCTGTCTGTCTGTCTGTCTGTCTGTCTGTCTGTCTGTCTGTCTGTCTGTCTGTCTGTCTCTCTCTCTCTCTCTGTCTCTCTCTCTGTCTCTCTCTGTCTCTCTCGGTCTCTCTCGGTCTCTCTCTCTCTCTTTCTCTCAGTATGTGGACGCACGCGCCTGACGAGCCTCCATGCTCCTTCGTTCTTTATCGTACACATAGGCATACGCGGGAACGTGCATATATACACAGGCACATACACGTATTTTCTATCTCGCTTTTTCCATCGTCTACTTATTCTTTCGCTCTTACCCTCGCACGTGTGCGCACGTACTCGAAGGCTGTTTTATTAAAACGATACATTATGATTCAAAAGATCATATCTTTCGAATCGTCTAGACGGCAAGGAAAGAGGGAGACACCCTATAAAGTCCGCGCGGCGGCCGCCCCCGGCCACGCGTGCTACATACATCGAATGCATAGGGAATATCATCTGTGTCTCTTTTCTTTATATCTCATTCGCGTCCCGTCGCGATACTTTTTTTCTTCTTTTTATTACATATCCTTTAGCTGTCCTTTTCGTTATCTGACTTTGTTTTGTATGGGCATACGTGTACGTTTAGACTGTCAAGTCCCGATCTGACGAAAAGTAAATTTAAAAAGAAATAGATTCAATGAGTAATTACAAATAGATATTTTAATTAATTGCCTTCTTTTAATTCTATTTGAAGAAATTCTGAATAAATAAAATTAGAATTTGAGAAGATATAAAAACTTTAAAATTAATTAGACATAAGAAAAAAATAGTTGAAATAAAATCTTAAATCAAGAACAAAAATCTTTTTAAAAATAGATGATATCAAAAGTATTTTTATAAATCTCTTAAAAAAAAGAAAAAAAGATAAGAGAATAAAAATATATATAATCAATCGTAAAATAGGTAAAATATTGTCGACAATCTTAAAAAGACTATTGTAGAGATTTTATAAAGTAAAGAAAAAGTAATTTCCTTTTTCGGATACATAAGAAGATATGTTCGTCATAATAAAATAAAAAATAGACCATCTTTAGATTCAAATTCATATTTAGATTCATAGAATGTTTTTCTATACGATGTATTCTGTGATAAAAAAAATAAGTAGGCTACTATTTAATAAATAATAAAGGGTTTAAACGATATTTCAGTTTCCCGATACCCGCGAAGAATTATACTTGAAAGAAGGAAAGAATGAAAGAAGTGAGTTAAAAGCACAGTATCGCGCTCACGCAAAAGACGTAACAGCAGAAAGCCAGACGATCTTAGAGAAAAGATACTTTGTTGAAATTCAAGGAAGAATTTAAGAAGCTCCCAGATGGATAGACATAAAGTTTTATGAGAAAGAGACGAATGAGTGAGTAAGAAAGACAGTGAGTGTGAAGAGAAGAAAGAGGGAGGACTGTCTGGTCCAACTGGAGAGAGAATTTTGTCACGAGGCGATAGAGAGTTGGGAGACACCGTGGGAGTATATAGGAAGGAAATTCGTCTTAGTTTCTCTCTCTCTCTCTCTCTCTCTCTCTCTCTCTTCTACTCCTACTCTCTCATTTCTCCCCTCGATTTCCCTTCCTCTTTCTGTATATACCTTTCTCTCGTCTCCTCTTTCCCACACACTCTCTCTCTCTGTCTCTCTCTCTCTCTGTCTATATTTCTCTCTCTCTCTCTGTGTCTATATTTCTCTCTCTCTCTCTGTGTCTATATTTCTCTCTCTCTCTCTCCTTTCTCATCCTAGCCATCTCCTTCTTTCTCGTTAGGTCGCGCGTTGTGTGTCTCGGAATTACCGAGTAGACAGAATTATGTGTACGAGAAGCTCGGCTTGGCTCAGTTGAGACTTACGACTCGCGCGGTGCGCATCCAGCACCGACAACACTTGGCAGACGTATACTGCGATATATATATATATATATATATATATATATATACATATATA